TGCGGGGCGCACCCCCCTGCCCGGGACATGCTCCCGCACCCGCGGCCTGCTCCGGACCACCACCACGGAGCAGGAGTACTGGGACCAGCACCTTGGGTCCTTGCGTAAACTCTGTTCTAGTTCTAGCCTTCACAGCCTCCTGCAGCAAGGAGTTCCACAGGTTGACTCTTTGCTTTGTGAAGAACAACTTTCTGTTACTAGTTTGAAGCCTGCTACCCATTCCTTTCCTTTGGTGTCCTCTAGTCCTTCTTTATGGGAACTAATGAAGAACTTTTCTGTATGCACCCTCTCTACTCAATTCCTGCTTTTAGAGACCTCTATCCTGTCCCCCCTCCGTCTCCTCTTTTCTAAGCTGAAAAGTCCCAGTCTCTTTAGCCTCTCTTCATATGGGACCTGTTCCCAACCCCTGATCATTTTAGTTGCCCCCCCTCTACCAGCCTCCCTCTTCCACTCTCCCACCTCCTTTTCCCAGTCTCCCCCAGTTTTGTTCAATAAAGACAGATTCCATTTTGGAAGACACGTTATCTTTATTTTGTACATGAAGAAGAGGGGCTAGGGAAGGGTAAGTGGAAGGAGGTGATGGAGGAATGGGGCACGAGCCCCCGATGGGGAGAACTGGGCTAGCTCTGCTGGCTTCTGGGGGTGGAAGCTCTCCTGCAGCCCCCCAATTGCCTCCTCTCCCCAGATGGCAGCCTGCGGCAAGTGCAGCCTGGTGATGGCCGAGTGCTGTGATGTGCCCAGTATGGGCACTCAGGGCACTCCAAGCCAGGACTGCTTTGCAAGCGGGGCACCCCTGAGAACTGTCTGTTCGGGGTGGGGGTTGGGACCCTTTACGCACAGCCCTCGGCTAGCATGAGACAGCAGCTCCACGCTCTAAGTCCTAACCTGATGCCCTGCCGGTACTGCTTCCGGCCATCCTTAACCTCGGTTCAGGGTCCACTCAGTGTGAACATGCTAGTTCGAATTAGCAAAACACTAATTCGAACTAGTTTTTAAGTCTGGATGCACTAGTTCGAATTAGCTTAGTTCGAATTAGCGCTGTAGTGTAGACATACCCTGGTCCAGTTTCAAAGTAGGGGGAGCAAAATGCAAATGAGCTTTGTGTCACTCCACGTCTCTCCGAATCAGGAAAATAGAAGTCAAATAATGGTAAACTGTGAAAGTGCTTTATTCTTTTCACAGGGACAAACTTACCAGTAAACAAACAGTGAGGCAGGTTTGTTAACCTTCTTGATATTTTGTATGGCTCAAGTGTGCTTTTGCAGAGGTGATCATTGCACCCATAATTTATAGATTGCAGTTTATTTTATACTACTTGTCAGTAAGAGCCCCAAATCTGCAGTTGTTATTCATGTGAGTAGACTTCTCGGAGTAGTCCCAATGACCTAAGGAGCTGCAGGAACATGTGCTAAGTGATGTCTGTATGTTTTTCTTCTTTATGTATATGCACTTAGACACATATATGTTGCATGTCTGCACTGTAGAAAAATAAAGAAAAAATAATAGACCAGAGCACTGGAGAAAAGAGGGTTCTTTTAGTAAATACAATCAATAGCTTGTGTTTTTAGCATGGAAAGCGGATAAATTAGTAAAATCATTAAGCAAAAAAGTCTGTACAATATGTTCAGATTAAAAACTATCACAAGCCATTTAATGAGTCATTATTACTCATCTTACAGAAAATAAATTGAACAAATATGTTTGTAGTATGATTTTGTTGGCATTCACTTATTTTTTAAATTCTGCCAAACATTTATTTCTAGCTGCCTTTGTTAACAGGGATGACAAGTCAAGCAGTTTATTGTTGAGCAACATTAGAATATTGACCTCTGCATCACCTCAAGAGTTCAGTCTTCCAGGTCAAAAAAGATGTCTGGAATAAAATAAATAAATAAAATTTAAAAAATTAAAAAGCAATAAATGTTTCTGATTAGCCACTAGAGTGGCTATGAACACTGGATTAGACATCCTGTCGCCTGCTTGTCCAGTGGGGACATCATGCTGTTAGAGAGCAAAAGAGTTAATTTCTGGTACCAGATGCAAACCAGAGCTTAGAGGGGGTGTATGTATGTGTGTGTGTAGGTAAGACAAGAGGGAGCAAGATAGAAAAGATAAATGCTAGAAGCATTTCCCACAATGAAGTAACTTTCTGCTAGAACTCATTTTCGTACAGAATAGTATATGAACTGAATCTTCACTTATTTACATCAGTGGAAATCAGGAGAGATGCCACTTAAATCAATGGAATAATATTGGGGTAAAAGCAGTGTGACAATCAAGTGCAGTCTTTTTTTTTTAAAAGAAAATAATTTTGCATGTTTCCTGCCTGATTCTCCATTTCACAAGGGGCAGCACAAATCATTAAAAAATTGTTTTAGTTTTTCATTATTTTCCCTTGTCTGAATAATAATTGCCAGATTGTTGAGGCAAAATCAGTAGGAGTTCAAGACTTTTTTTCTGCTTGTAAAAATATTGCTTAAATGTCATTCATCTGAAGAAGTGGGTTGTGCCCACGAAAGCTCATGATACCATCGACATGTTTTGTTAGTCTTTAAGGTGCTGCAAGATTATTCATTGTTTTTAAGTTTTTCCAGTTACAGACTCACTCAGCTACCCCTCTGAAGCTTAAGTTGTGGAGTCGCTAAGACAAAACACTGAAAATCTAGAAGATAACCCCACAAAATCTATTTCTTTTAGCTGGATGAATTTTGTGGCTTTACCTACTTAATAGTGCCCATATTAGGCACACTGTGTTCCCTTAAATTTGGAATAAAGACATAATCATAAAAATATTTATTACCAATTGTAGCACTTCCTATTAGGAATCATCCCACAGAAGCACGCTCTGTCTTCAGGTGCACTGAAGCAGTACTTTGCCCACTCCAAAAAAAGGCCAAAGTGGCTTTATGTTACCTTCCTGTCCCTCAGATCCTGATCCAGGGGCAAGCCAGACGCTGGTTCAGCTCCTAGTATAATATAAGGGATCCTCAGACCTGGTCAAAATTGTGTTAATTTTAATGCCCCCTGTAATTCTTATGGACCATTTCCTATCATTCTCCTAGAACGGTCTATTCAGAAGGAGTTTATGGTTCCCTGTTTAGGACAGTTTTAAGCCAGAGTTAATGTGGGCCAGAATTGAGCTAAATGGTGGTGTTCTTGGAATAAGACTATGCCTGGTAGTAACTGTTTGTAGGATTGGACACCAAGGCATTAAAAGCATAACATTTAATTTTTCAAAAATACTCTTTCACTTAGCAATAGTTACACTAGTCACAGATTTCTCTATGCTTCCTTGTGTAATAGTGCATTAAAGGGGGAGACACTCTTGCATCTTTATCCAGAACTGATAGAACACATTGGCTCCCTATTTCACAGCCTCAGGTTCCAGCTTGTCCTTATCCTGTCCATTTTTTCATGGCCTTTATTTTCCACTTCTGCTTTATCACATTATCCAAACACCACCTTTGTCAGCCTCATCTTCCTATTAATCAAGTTCTTTGGGTCTTCTTTCAAACTGGCCTTTATACATGGCATACTTTTCTCGAACCGGATAGATTCCTCCTCAGGAGGCACTTTTCCTTTAATGCCCTTATGGAATTAGTCAATTTGCTGTAGCAAGGTTGAGTGTCAAAGTGAAATATCAGACATCTACTTATAATATTTTAAAGAAACAAATTTCTGTCCCTCTCTCTTTTCACATATATTTGATTATGTTTCTCTCCTTCCTCCCCTGCCCCTAGTCTTTAAATGTCATGTGTCCTTTTAGATTATACATTTTACGGGGTGGGGACCATGTCTTCATGAGTTTGAATAGCAACTTGCTAGAGCCTGATCCGCCGTTGCCTGGTCCCAAGTCCAGGATGTGAAAGGAGGAGGGTTGTATGTCGGGCTAGCAACCCACTACATAAAAAACTCTTGCTACAGAAACGTCAATGAAAACTTTAAAAAGTCATCAAAGGGGTGATCAGCTGAGGATCGAGGCAGCGATGCCTAGCATGACGAGCAGAGATGAAAGCCGAAAGGAAGTTTCTGCTCCGATACAGTCCCTAGCAAGACCCAAGCAACAAGTGAGAGTGGCAACATAGAATGTAAGAACCATGTACGAGACCGCCCGGGAAAACAGCACAGGTGGCAAGAGAAATGTTTAGGTACAAGATCAATATTTTGGGCTTTAGTGAAATGAGATGGACTGACTCAGGGATGCTAACACTTGGTTCAGGGGAGATTGTCTGTTACTCTGGAAGGTCAGATGGACAGCATCAAGAAGGGGTTGGCATCATCATGGATATTCAGGCTAAGAAGAGCCTTCTGGGATGGGAACCAGTTAACTCTCGGATCATCAGAGCAAGATTATTTTCCATCTACGCCAAAACCACCATTATTCAATCCTATGCACTTACCGAACAAGCAACAGAGGAGGAGAAGGACTTATTCTCTAGCAAACTGCAAGAGCAGATAGACAAGATACCTCACCACAACGTTTTGATCATAATGGGGGATCTGAATGCAAAAGTCGGGTTGGATAATGAAGGCTACAAATCCTGCATGGGCCCCGAGGGTGTCAGCGAAAGAAACAATAATAGACAGCGTTTTGTAGATTTGTGCCTGGATAATGGTCTGGTGATAGGAGGCACTGTCTTTCAACATAAGACAATACATAAGTTGACCTGGATATCTCCAGATAGAAGGACTTATAACCAAATTGATCACATTGCTATCAACCAGAAGTGGAGAAGATCCATGAGAGATGTCCGAGCGCTGAGAGGAGCAGATGCCAACAGCGATCATCATCTCCTTCTTTGCAAGCTGCAGCTCAAGCTGAAACGGCTGAAAAGGACAGACAGAAAGACTGGTGGCCAGTTCTTTGACTTCAGTAGACTAAAACATCCAACAGTGAAGATCCAGTTCACTCTAGAGCTGTCCAACAGATTCAGCCTGCTTGAAGACCTGATAGCAGATGATATTAATATCCACTGTGAGGATATCCAGAAGGTATACCTGGAAACCATCAAGATTGTATTGGGGTACAAGAAGAAACAGAGAAGGGAGTGGATTTCAGATGCTACATGGCAGCTCATTGAGAACAGAAAGGCAGTTAAACAGCGCACACTTGCAGGCAGTGACGAAGATAAAATAGCAGCTGTACAGGTCTCCAGGGACCTAAATGTTGCCGTGAAGAGAAGTGTACGAAGAGATAAGAGAGCGTATGTGGACAATATTGCCATAGAGGCCCAAGATAAAATAACAGCTGTACAGGTCTACAGGGACCTAAACGTTGCCGTGAAGAGAAGTGTACGAAGAGATAAAAGAGCGTATGTGGACAATATTGCCATGGAGGCCCAGTCAGCAGTAGACAGAGGTGATACTAGGACAGTGTACAAGATCACCAAGACTCTTATAGGAGACTTTACCAACAAGTCTACTGTAGTAAGAGACAAGAATGGGAAAATGCTGGTGACAGCAAAAGAACAGCTCAGCAGGTGGACAGAACACTTCAGGGAGACTCTCAACAGACCCGACCCAGAGGAAGAGGCTGATATTAGAAGTATGAACCTCCAAGTAGACATGGAATGTGGGGACATCAGTGAGCTGGAGATAGCAGATGCTATCAAACAGAGTGCCCGAGGAAGACCAGATCACTGCTGAAATGCTTATGGCAGACCCCAAGGCAAGCGCACAAGCTCTGAGGGGTGTCTTCAACAGGGTCTGGAAAGAAGAGAGGGTACCGGAGGCCTGGAAGAAGGGCATCATTGTGAAGTTACCCAAAAAAGGCGATCTGTCCATCTGCAGGAATTGGAGAGACATTAATCTGCTGTCTGTGCCGGGAAAGATTTTCAGCAGAGTCCTGCTACAAAGAATGCGAAAGGGCATTGAGAAAATCTTCAGAGAAGAACAGGCTGGCTTCAGAAGTGGAAGGTCATGCACGGACTAGATCTTCGTCCTACGCACCATAGTAGAGCAGTCAATAGAGTGGAACTCTTTGCTCTATATTAATTTCATCGATTTTGAGAAGGCATTTGATAGCATCCACCACCTCTCACTCAGGAGGATTCTACAAGCATACGGGTTCCCTGAGAAGGTCATTAACATCCTGAAGGACTTGTACGTTGAGAATCAATGCTGTGTGAGACATGAAGGACAGCAGAGTGACTGGTTTCACGTGAAGACGGGGGTCAGACAGGGCTGCGTAATCTCACCTGTTATCTGCCTTGTGGTCATCGACTGGGTGATGCACATAGCCACTGAGGGTAGATCAAGGAGAGTGCTATGGGGACCGACTGCTCGGCTTGAGGACTGCGACTTCACAGATGACCTGGCGCGTCTCGTGCATGATCAGCAGGACATCTAAAAAGAGACTGACATTGTTGACTGGACAGCCAGAAGCGTTGGGCTCAGAATTCACCCTGGCAAGTCCAAAGTGATGAAACTGAGGACAACTAACACAGATAAAACCACCGTCATGGGTGAAGAGTTAGAGGAAGCAAATGACTTCAGGTATCTCGGCAGTTACATCTCGGCAGACAGCAACATCGACAAAGAGATCTCCACTAGACTTGCCCTGGTAGCGCAAGCCTTCCAAAAGCTTAACAACATTTGGAAGTTGTCACTGTTGCAGACCAGGACTAAACTGAAGATCTATGGGTTTAACGTGCGCTCAGTCCTGCTGTATGCCGTAGAGACTTGGAGGACTAACAAGAAGATTGAGAGCAGACTCAGAGGCTTTGAAGGACGGTGCCTTCGTCGTATCCTCAGAGTCTGCTGGGAACAGCATGTTACCAACCAGGAGATAAGCCAACGCACTGGCAACAACAATGTTGTGAACAAGACCAAGCAGAGACGCTGGAGATGGCTGGGGCATTTCCTTCGGATGAGCGAAACAAGACTCCCCCATATGGCACTCAGATGGACTCCACTTGGAAAGCGTAAAAGAGGGATGCCGTTGGGCACCTGGAGGAGGACAGTGGAAGAGGACATGAAAAGGAAGGGCACGACCTGGGAAGAAGTCAGCCGGCTTTCTCAGGACTGTGAAGGCTGGAGAAGATTCGTTGGCGCCTCATGCTCCTTCAGGAGCGAAGAGGACTAATAATAATAATAAATATAATAAGAGCCTGATCTACACTGTGATACTATATTATTATTATCACTATCACTTTATTTTACTATGAAATATTTATTGCTCTATGGAATGTAGTTTGGTGCTTTTGTTGGTAAGCACTTGCTGGTAACTTATAATAGTGGTGAGAGTGCATTTTTTTTCTTACAGGGCCTTGCCACTTTGCAAGAAATGCAACTATGGCACATGATGACTTTTCATAGGCTAAGGGTTGCTGAAGAGGTTTTTTGTGACATCCTCTCCCTCCAGTTAAGATAATATCACAAACACATCTTCAAAATTATACATGAGTGCATTGCTATTATTTTGGTTTGCTGGGCAGGGTGGGGGAGGGGGAGAGCAGAGCAGAGGTAATGCATAGGTCCATCCTCACTCTGCCCCCACTTGTATCAGCAGTTACAAGTTGTCTCTGGCATGGGGGAGTGTTTCCGACCTTAGAATTCTGCCCAGCAAGACAAATGTATCTTCAATATAACAAACAATAGCCACATTCACTGGGAGAAAAAAATGTTGTTATGCAACCTAACATTTTATTGAATCAATTCTTTGTAAATACTAAAGGCCTAACTCTATTTTTATTTTCTAAAAATAATATCTAGTAGGATTTTTGTTCTTGATTCTTTTCTCCTTATTGTGATACCAGTGGAATTAAAAATTGTGCTTAGCTCTTACAGAATTTAATGATTTATCCAAATTAAAACCTTTGTGGGGACAGACTTCTAAAAAATTCTGATGAAACTCTCACTGCCTGCCAAGTCTTCCCATTTTCACTTGCATCAACATTTTATTGCTTCAGCATTCCCTTTCGCCTTCCCCTCTAAACACTCCGGCTACGTCTACACTGGCCCCTTTTCCGGAAGGGGCATGTTAATTTCAGAGATCGTAATAGGGAAATCCGCGGGGGATTTAAATATCCCCCGCGGCATTTAAATAAAAACGTCCGCCGCTTTTTTCCGGCTTTTAGAAAAGCCGGAAAAGAGCGTCTACACTGGCCCCGATCCTCCGGAAAAAGCGCCCTTTTCCGGAGGATCTTATTCCTACTTTGAAGGGCGCTTTTTCCGGAGGATCGGGACCAGTGTAGACGCTCTTTTCCGGCTTTTCTAAAAGCCAGAAAAAAGCGGCGGACATTTTTATTTAAATGCCGCGGGGGATATTTAAATCCCCCGCGGATTTCCCTATTACGATCTCTGAAATTAACATGCCCCTTCCGGAAAAGGGGCCAATGTAGACGAGCCCTCCTTGTGTCCTGCAGTGTCTTAGCAGTTAGGCTAATCTCAAGTATTCAGAAATCATGATAGACATTCCCCCCAGCCTGCAAAACCCCTGAAAATTTTAAAATATATTGGTTCTTTTTTGCTTCTCATTCTTAGCATTTAGAATCTGTTTGGTTTCTGTTTCCACAATTTTCTATGTAACTATGGGAGATAGAAACTTACTTTTGAATGAAAACAGTTGAGATGTATGATAGAATACTGAGGATTGGAAACACCACTTATACCTGGTTCTGGTTTGGTGAATGATGATGGTCCATCTCAACTGAGGACAGTCTGATGTTAGTCCCAAGGAAAACTTTGGACATTGTTATGAAAGTCAGGTTCTTTTACACCTGAAAAGGCTGTATGGAAATTGTCAGTCTGGTTAAAGTGAGCCTTTGGCTTCATCCTTCTTGGGAGCAATGGGAGAAAGTGGCTACTCCTAGTAATGGCAAGAAAATCCTAGCTGTCTCTTGACATCATAAACACCTTAAAAACTGTAGGAAGTTATAACTTCTCAGGTCACCATAGTAGACATAGATGACAAATAGAACTGAGATTGAGACAGTCTGTGCTGGAGCAGAGGCAGTCCTGATAACTAAGAACTGAATTTCTCCTTGGTACCAAGAAGATAGGTGTAGTGAGTATCTTGCTGAATTGTGCTGCACAGACTCCAGGGACAGAGGCTCAGCTGGACCCAGTCATATGGAAGAAGCTGGGGATTCCCTGGAGAATTTACAAACTACACCTTGCTAATCACATGGCCTTCTCTGGTGGTGTCCTCTGTGCATGAGGAATCAACTTCTCATCTCTCTCAGCTTAGATTTTTTAAAATCACCTTGTTTAAATTTGGGAGGAGGAATAAATTCAATACAGTAAAGAGACAGCCTTAGACTGGCATATATAAAAGTTGTTAGGAATGCTAGACATTTTTTAGGAGGCTATCCCAGAGTAAAACTGAGCATGCATTTTACAGGTGTCAGAATGGAACAGATCAAGTAATTAGTTTTCCCTTAAAAGAAAACAGGATCTGCCATTCAGGTATAACTAAAACAAGATGATGCTGATGCTTTGCTTATTTAAAGGTATACAGAATCACATTAAACTTTGAATTTTCAGAAACTAATTGTTCAGAAGGTTCTGGTATAATTTAAATAAAATATGGATTTTAAAAATGCAAGAAAATGGCAAACATATCCTCCTCCAACTGCTCTCTTCAGTTAGTGGTGAAACACTCAATGGCATAGTTGAGATGTTTATAAGCTAGGCATAAAAATATTCAAGATTGTTTAGCTTTTCGCAAGCAAACGACACCAGTATAGGCATGCAACCCGCCTCCAGCTGTCTCACAAACTCAGCTTGAGTTTTCTCTGCACTGAGGTGTTTAAAGTGTGTGAGAAAAATCTCAGGTCTGAAAAAGAACTAAAACTGTGTGAGAGCGTTGGCGGGAGAAAGGAGAGAGAGGGAGCGAACTGAAGCTGTGCATAGACCTTGCAGTTGTTTTTCTAGCACTCTTGCAAATATTAACCAGTCCCTACGAGTCTTTGGTGGCGATCGCTGCAGAAAAGGGTGCGCGGTTTATGTCGTGCTCAGCTTCAGGGGAACTTTGTCCCTCTTTCTACCCTAAGACTAAGCAGCAGCAGGCGGTGCAGCTGCCGCCAGCTTCCCTGGGAAGGCAGGTCGCTTGTTAGGGGCTAGGTTTTCTCGGTCTCGCTAAACTTTCATTCATTGTTTGCGTTCCTTTTCTACTCACCTCCTCCCCCCTGACTTGGAGGTCTGGAGTCGGCCAGCCAATGAATGCTGCCCTGGCGGTTTTGGGCGTAGCCGGAGGAGGCGAGGCTCCGCCGCCCGTATATAACAAGCGAGCGTGGGGAACTTCTGGCTTGGTGTTGTTTACGGGAGAGGTGCCTGGATGTTTGCGGCAGCAGGGAGAACCGGCGAAGGACGAGGCAAGGCGGAGGGTCCTGGTGTCTGTGGCTAAAGCTGCTGGAGGCTTCCTGGTTGCTAAAGCGCGGAGCAGTAGCAGCTCGGGAAGCGCTGGCACAGGTTTTGTGGCGCCCTGGGAAGCACTTTCTGCCGGGCGAGCAGTGACACACACCTTGCAACGGGAAGAGAAGCGGCCTGCGTATGTGGCTCATCCTATTGTTCAAACTGCGAGACTTGGGGGTGTGAAGGCGGCAGCTTGCGTGTTGTCTCTTTTTCCCCACCCTCTCCCCCCCGTTCTCCTCTCCCTCTGTGCAGGAGACCAGCAGTCCCGGAGCTACAGGGCTGGAGCCAGCTGGATTGTTTTGTGCGGACATCCTCCGCTCAGGTGCGCCTTCGGCTATCTGGGAGGGGAACGGAAACAGTCTCCCTGCCCAGGCTGAGGGAAGGAAAGTTCCTCCCGCTGCCCCTCTACCCAGCCATCGCGGGCGCTGCTGAACTGCTTCTCCTCTCCGACCCGCACCGCTCCTACCTTTCCCATCAGGTGCCTGGCTGCTGCAGCAGCGCCGCCGTATCCGGGAGACGAGAGGGGACGTAACTTCCAGCCCAGCCCGTTGGCTCTCGGAGCCCGTCTCGCTGCGCTCCCAGGACCGCTTGACTGCGATCTGTCACCGAGGAGGAGGCGGTGGATGAGCGCGCTCTGCAGCAGGGCAGGGGATCACTTCAACTGCCGCTGCCGCCTGGCTGCGCAACCTGGCTT